GAGGTCACCCATTTTCAGATCGGTCTGTTGTAGAATATCTGATCTCCCTCCCCCCTCATATTTGTGGCAAGTGTGACATTTCACGAAGCCAGCCCTTTCCAACACATAGCTCCCACAAAACATTTCCAATATGAATATTATCAACAATATCAAACCCAGCCACTCTTCAGTTAACAGTGCTGAGAATAAAATGGCACTGAATCATGCAAATAAAGAATCGGTTTTCAACTGAGCTGCCATTCATCAGGCACTCATAACAATTTTTTGTTTGGGGGGTTTTGTTTCTTTTTTGTGCTATAACTAATTTACGATCCAGACCTTAGTCTATCTACATACAACGACCTAGTAAACAACAATAGCAAAACTAAGATAAATCAATTATTATTTTGTTTATCATTTTCTCTCTGCAATAATTATTGCATGAATAAAATTGGGCAATCAGTAGCTTTCTGCAGTCCTGAATGCAAAGAACAGGATTCTCTTGAACTCATTTTACATCATTTCTTTTCTTTCAGGAATGGGGGTTGATTCTGTTTTATCACCACTAAAAAGTTCTATTCTTCCCCCACTAAGAAACTCTGTTCTTCCGCCACAATAAATACAAATATTATTAAGCCGAAGATTCTGCTTGAAAAACTCTATATGGGAATTGAACCAATTACTATTTTCTCACAAAGATATAGTTACCTGATGAGGTTGGCAGTTACAATGTGTTATCCAACCTGCTTTTTTATCTGTCACACAAGAAATCATTTCCAGAATGAAAAACCATGTATTTATAATCAATTGGGATGTTTGAACATCCCTTCTTGTTATGCAGTTCATTTACAGTGTCTATATGCACTGAATAATTTCAACAAATAAAGCGGGATTCTCACTTTGGTATATCAAAGTAGGGGGCACATATGCTGATAGCTAGGGGGAGGAGGCGACAGGGGCAGAAAGGGGTAGGGGCAATCCCCCCCCCTCTCCATTTCAACAATGAGTCCCACATATACATCTCTCTGTTAATTACTATACTTAACAGGGTAGGGGTAAAAACCTTCAACAAGACTTATATGCAGAGTGAAGCTTTTTTTCTTACATTTGCCAAGTTGGCAATCTTAAATTAACATAACAGGTTAAAAAACAGACCTACTTGACTACCTGGCCTATCACTTAGGTAAATGCATTAGCATTGACTAACTCACAAGAGCTTTTTTCTACTCCTAAAACGTCAAATTTTTCAGTCAATAACATGAAAATCTGAAAACTTCTGGCCAAAACCAAGGTTCTATAATTTCGACCTTCAATTGGTCTTCATCCTACAGATAGCATTTCCAATTATGGATGCATTTGCCATGCACACAACATAGATAAATCACCTCAGATATACCAGACCAATAGACAAACATGACTGATGAAGCCATTTACTGGGCTGGTTAAGTCTTAATGGTCAGCCAGGTGATGAACTACCTCTGCCTTTTTTTAATGATAACAGTTCAGTTGAAAGAAACACTGGTCTCCTTACTGTACATTAGGACAGGGATGGAGAATATGTGTTATTAGCCAAGCATATTGCTGTTGTGCTGAAAAATCACAAAATATCAGCACTAATAATATTTTTAAATCCTACTGACCCTTCTGAGACAAAATATTAAAATTCTGATTTCATTTGCTTAGCTGTAGTTGAGCTTCCTGTTCATAAGCAAAAGCTATGCAAAAAAGAAGTACTAGTAGCTTCACTAAGTTGCTGATAGCTAACATTTGTCTGCTATTGTATGAACTTTCAATTTCATATACTAGTACATGTGCATTTGGAACGGATACCTGACCACCAAAACCCCTTAATGAGACACAAATAGCAAACTGAGGCCAAATAACATGGCTCAGAAATGACCAAGCCAATGGAAATAGAAAGACCTTCCAAGCTACAGCACACTGTATCTGTCAGCTGTTAAACTGATAGATCTGCTAAATAACGACAGCATTATGCACATTTAATGCAATTTTCAGTCTGTAAAATAAATTAAATACTCCAACCACATGGGGGTTTATTTACCTGGCAGACTTGACCCCACCCAGCTACCTGAGTTTACCTGTGGCACCCCTTCTAGTCAATACAGCTTTCACAAGGCTTCAAAGGTTAAGATGGTACTTGTGGGAGCTTTATACAAATACTAGTATAGTGTGTGGTCTGCAGTCTAAGAAATACACTGTATACATCATCATGTGCATTGCTGCACATATCAATATATTGTGTAACATGGGGGAGAGTATTAAGGAGAAGATTTAGCCTGCTGCACTATATATCTTCTATTCACCTGACGCCAAAGTTTCAGATTTATCTGAATATGTAAAAGTAATAACACAACACCTATTTCTTCAGAACAAAAATATTTCAGATCTACATCTACCAGTAGATGGATACATAACATATTAATTTCCCAGCTTCATTTAATTGGTAAAATAGTTCTTAATTCTTAAGATATCCCAGACAAGCTACTAGTATGCAGTTTCACTGTCTTAGTCTTAAGTTTATACTGCTGTGAACATGGCTCATGTTCTGATGATGCCATTTAATCCGTTTCTGTACTAGTAATTCTCTGTATGAACTTGATCCACAAAATATATTTTGTTTTCACAGCACTGTGAGTATTCACAGTAAGCTATGACATTCACATCTGTCACACAGTTCAATGTCTACTTCACATTTATAAAAAGCATCAAACATGCAGGCAACAAAACTCAATACAAAATAAGTGAATAATTTAATGCTCTGAATATAATCATTATCATATGACTGCTTATGGTTGCATTCATTTTGAATTGGAGAGATCTCAACTTCAAAGACTTACTATAGGTGTATGATATATGTATGAATACACACTTGATATAAAAGAATACATAACACACCTGGGATAACTTATTCACAATGGACATAACAACAGTCTTTTCTCCCTAACTCAGTATGCAGTAAGCAGAGGCATGTTTTTTGTGGATTTTTTTCTCCTACTGTAGTTACTCATTTGGACAACAAAACAATATTGGAAAACTTAAAGAGGTACTAGTAACAGACACCTGGTACTATCTCTCTTTTTCACTCTCTCTTACTTGCTCGCACACACACACACACACACACACACACACACACACACACACACACACACACACACACACACATCAATAAGAACAGTGTCACAGCTAGTTTTAATATAAAAGTCAGTATTATCAAATATCAACATTTAACTGAACAATATACTAGAACTGATTGACCACAGTGGAGTACAGTTATAGCCTCTGGACATAACTGATGCAACAGTATCATTAATTTCCCTTTGCCAGAGAGTAGTACTAGTAACTGCAGAAATACTAACATCTAAATCACTGCCTATACGCATTGCTATGCTGCTCAGTTATATATCCCCTACAGCAAAATGATGCATACCTTAGCCTCAGGGCAACCACACGATTTCATGTTTGTGATCATGAAATAAATGAATAAATGAATATACTATAGTCTTGCATAGAGGAGGCCATATCACAGCATTTGCGGATCAATATAAACCTATGAAAAATGTTCTGTGTTCTTTTGATATTAACACATGAGTCATGGTCTTCTATTTCTTTGTGGGGAAATTGAAAACGGATGTTCTTTTTCTCTCTTTGTTAATGAATGATCTGGATATGCTTGGTATAGATGCATCAAAATCTTGATGAAACAATTATGAACCTATAGTCCCATTCTAGTATAATGTGGGTGACAACATGTTATGACTCTGGAAATTGCATGGTTTGAAACCTTTTTTGCCATGCATTAAACTTGAAAACATGCATTTTCTTATACCAAATTGCAATGAAGTAGAGGGGGTACATTGTTATGATATAGTAGTCTGCAGTATACCATGGAGTGCGCATATGTATGACACCAAGTTCTAATATCAGTGGTTGCTACTCCATATACTAAGAAGAATCCAAACATCCATTGCTACTGCAGTTTAACGGGCGGCAGTTTAACTGTAGTTCAGACTTCTAATTACAGAGTCTGGCAGCTGTTAACACTCATAAATACTCAGGACTTCTAACCATAGGTGGTCAGTGAGTACTGACCAACGGGCAACAGGTGGGGATTACTGCAGCATACCTTTGAAGTAAACAGAAACCAAACACTAACTGTTCACGAGAGGATTTACCCTAAAAAACAATCAATCCAGATGGCAACAATCATTCTATGTTATTAAAATATTCTCGATGTGAACATTGAAAGTAGGAACTTACCTTCTGGCCTCTAATCGGGGCTGGAAAAGCCATGTTGCTTGCTGTCACTTCCTTGTTGCTTGTCGATTTCACCTGCACCCACCTGGTGGATTTCAAGAGGATGCGATGTGTTTTTCGGTTTCAAAACACTCTTACGAGCTGTCCCTGGGCGCTTGAGCTAGAGTCTTCCACAGCGTAAGTGTGTATATTTCAATCAGCAGTCCTCAATGACAATCACTAAGCAAGGACTTGAAATTTAGTCGCTATCAACACCACCAGCATTGGAAAACTGCAAACACTATCGAGTCCGCCATCTTTGACCAAGTATCGTCGGAAGGTGAGGGTGTGGTCAATTTTCCTTCCGCTAGGCAAATAGTTCATCTAGTATATTTGAATTTAAATAATATATTTATGAAAAACAACTATTAATTTATTAATAAATAAACACAAAATGATAAATTATTCATTTTTTATCTATAATACAAGGATTTTGAAGGGCATTTTTAATTCAAATAATGAGGTCACCCGCGTAGTTTTTTAACTTGGTTTTGACCTCTGACCAACCGAGAAACCCAAGTAAAATCACAGGGTAAAGATTTCAAAAAGGAATAACCGTTTCTCTGAACGTAATACATGATCTTAAAAGCTACAATGTGGTTAGATATATTTTACGTCTTATAAAAATTCAACAAGAATTTCTCAGGAAAGAAAAATCGACAGGTAAAGAAATTATAAAGGTGTTATAATGTGGTCGGCAAGTGCCCTGTGTATTGAAACGTGAATGTAAACAGGAGCCGAGAGGGAAGCAGATGTTTGTAGGGATTATGGCGTGTGGTTCAGTCTTTTTATCCGGAATGCAGAGACATATTCGATTCTAGTCAGAACCTTTGGTAATATTACGCTTAAATGTAACCTTAATATTTGCTGTTTGTATTCGAAAGAGCAACGAGCACTTAAAAATTGAATGCCATAATCAAGGAATTCACACATTACCTGGGTGTGAGAAATGAACATGTGCAGATGAATTATTATAACCGTTACGCCGTTTTACTTCACACTTATGAGGAGGGTATTGTTTGCATGAAGATAATAGCGTTTGTGCAAGCTTAGCAAAAATTGTAATATGGTTGTGCATCAACAGCTTTGGCAAACTGAAAGTATACTGATTTGATTTACAATTAAGGGCAGTTCCAGATTAAGGGGGTTGGGGTGGGGCAGAACCTCCACCCCCCACTCCCAATCCACACCCCCCACCCCCACTTCTCTCCAATTGCCTCAGTTTTCGACCTTACATGGTGTAGGTACTTAATGCAGGTAATGCCTCGTTCCTCTCAGTGTTTCAAATTCCCAAGGCTATAATATACATGTACATGTATGGATCCACATCCTCGCAAAAATGTGTCATCTCTCACACCTTGAACCTGTAGTATATCATTTGCATTTAAAGTGCCTTTGTATCGTTTCACGCATCAGTTTCATAACGTTTTAGTGTTTTTTTTTATTCCCCGTATGTTTAATGAATAAAAATGTCCCAGTTCGTAAGCATGGTAGTGCTAAGTACTGCTAATCCCTGCCATTTATAAGTGATGTCCCTGATATAAAGCCTGTGCACAGAGTTTGGCACAGAGGTTGGATATGAGGCCTTACCTGCAAAAGATATCTATATCTTATAAGACCGAAAAAAAAAATGAGACAAGCCCTGCTATCCCTTGGTATGTAATAATGAGAGTAATGTTGTTACTTGAGGTAAAACGATGTATTAACCACTCCGTACATGAGATCTCCCCAGGGAGATGAGAAACATTCAGGTAAAAAAAAAAAAAATTCAAATTGACCATGTAGGCAAAAAATTGCAAAAAAAAGTAATGAACAAATTTTAAAAATACACATAAATGCTATTGTATATAATTTCTGGGTATTCATCCAACTCTCCATGTGTCGCCAGAATATATATGATAATAATTATGATAATTAAGAAAAATAATAATGTTTTTAATTTTTGAATTTTCTGCAGGAGTCATGTTAGCAGACAGGTGCCATGAACAACCTCCTCCTCACTGGCAACAGGCGCCATCTTCATCAGTTCAACTTGAAGGTGGCGCTAGTGGTGGTGATTATATTTGTGTTGCTGACCATCATATCTTACGTCAATGAGTTGGCAAAGTAAGTGTATGTCTATATTGTATGCTTAGAGGTTGTTGCACAGATATCTATTTTTATCAGTGCTCACTTCTTAATCTTTTTTTCCTAATCTATTTTCAGTGTTTTTTAAGTTTTCCAAAATCTGTATGATGATCATATTAAATGTTAGGAATTTATTGGTTGATGGACTGATCAACTGATTGATTGCAGGTATTATTTCAATAAAACATAATATTATATTGACCTTTTTTCAGAGCTGGATTACTGGAAAAAAGATCCCAGCGCAAGCGTGTCATGCAAACATATTCTAACATCAGAGATGAAAGTGCAGTAGAGGCTCTTGCAAACGCTTCCAAGGATATTGATGACAGCAAATATCAAATCCATGATAGAGATTATAACAAGAATCCCAAATCAAAAAAGAGAAAACATGGCGCAAATATTGAAGAATCTGAGAAAAATGAAGATGAGATTGATGGTGATGGTGGAAATCATAGGGCCAAACGAGATGCTCCACTCGAATATGGATTTAGGGAACACTTACAAGGTGATGGTAATCACTTACAAGAATTCAACAAGCATGTGGAATTAAGAGAAGCAAGGAAGTTTGTAGTCTTAGAAAGACTAGAAAAACATCTTAACTCAAAACATGCAGTGAAATCCAAAACCACCCGAAAACCAGAGAAATATGGCTTCCCAAAAGAGCCCGGTGGTTCTAGATCTGCAAGTGAAGTGGACCAATATTCAACTGCTGAGGATCAGGATAAATATGCATCTGAGAAAGGCATACCTTTTACTTCACCCGAGACTTCTATTAATAATCAATCAAACCATCATTTGGATGCTAATATAACAGGCATATCATCTAGAAGTGCCTTAAATATATCTGTAGTGATGGGACTTAACCAAACAAATAGGGATGATCTTGAAGAAGCAGAGATGAGAGAAAATGAGATTCAGGAGGAGAGCGATATTTCCACCATTTTGTACAACAACACTAGTATAGTTGAGCAGAGGGAAGAAGATACTTTTTCTGAAAAATTGGGAAATTTTAGCAGAAATCAAAATTACCAGAATAATCTGGGCAGGACAGATTTCAGAAATCATAATCTACAGAGTACATGGAATGTTTCTGACGATTTACTCAACCAAACTGAGATCCTTGAGCCAAAGAAAACTCCAGGTTCAAGAATGAAGTACATGTACAAAGTTAATCCAGCTGAATTTGAAGGAAATATCACATCTTTTTCTTCTTCTAGGAATCCATTGCTTCTATTTCAAAAATTTATTCCAAGGGCATCGAAAAATGAGAAGTCTCCAGTTAAACAGATACAAACTAAAGAGGTTTACATTTTATGATGTATTAAATATTTTTTTCCTAAAAAGAACACATTATGAGGAACAACTTGTAAAACTGTTTGACAATAGACACAGACTTGAAAATGTACTGTCTTTCCTTAAAATGAAATTCCTCTGAGATGTGAATGGGTAAATTTATTGGATAATTGACATTTCAAAGTCATGAAGTTCTAATTGTGCATTACTGTTAAACATATATGCCACAATTTTGCTCAAAGCAACTTCATTCAACCAAAATAATTTCAAGAGGATATCCATGCCCAGTCATTAAAGGTGTCAGTATGTGGGGGACGGCTTTTGATTTTTAAAACCCAAGGTCATAAGATGCGATTTGAACATGAGTACATTCAACAGTCTCTCTCGAGAGCATGGGGAATTTTACATCAAATGCATTTTATAAACTTTTTGACAATTTTGATACAATATATATGTATGGTGATGCAATTTGGAGGAAGAACTGCATATTTACCAGTATGTTTGATACTAATAGGTTTTTTTCTGTAAGAATGATAGGCTAGTTGGGAGTTATAAGACCAGAGTATTAGAGTGTACAAGAGAATGCTGGGAAACAGCATACTGATGACTAAGGTTAAATTCTAGGGTTGAGCGCTTATGAAAATTTCCTATAGGTAATACTATAGGACCCTATGGAACTCTATTAAAGGAATCCTTCATAACTATAGGAATTGTACAGGACTCTATCACCCCATTTCCATAGATTTTTAGATCGATCTATCCCTGTAGGGAGTCTCACTAGATTACTGTCAGCTTGTCCGGCTTAAGTGTCTGTCCCGCCTACTAAAAGCTGTAAGGGGGTAATTAACTATGGTGCCCGCTCGGCTGACTGCAATTTAGCGTGAACCCCCAGGGAGTTAGGTCGATCTAAAACTTAATCTTTAGATCATTCTAAATCTCTGGGAAAGCACCCTATGAGACTCTATAGAAATCCTATCAGACATCCTTTTGGAAATCCAACATTAGGAAACGTATTATAGGGCCATATAGGAAAACTGAAAGGGGGTGTTTGCTGTTAAGACAAGCATGAGTTAATTGATTTTTTTATATATATAAATGTTTTACTGCATCTTTTATAAGTCCTGTCATGGTTGAACTACTGAGTATATAGAAAGCAAAATGTAATTTGCATGTCTGTAGGTTGTTTTCATGTTGTTGAATGTTAAAAAATCTGTGATATATGCATCTGTTTTGGATGTGTTTTGTAACATATTTGTTACGGTCTCTGTTTAACAAACGTGTTCCAGAAGAAGTTGTCAGAAAGACTGATATTAGATAAACTTTATGGGATTATTTTCATGTTGACTGTTTTTGAATAATGGTTGTAACTGGTAAGCAGATCTTGATCCTGGGGATGCATCCCTCCCCCCTCTCTCTCTCTCTCTCTCTCTCTCTCTCTCTCTCGAGGAAAAAAAAGATGCACAAAAGCTCACAGAAGAATGTTTTAACTCTGTATCTGACTCTGCAAAATCCCCCAAATTAACCAATGTTTCATATATCTTTCTTGCATAAAAGAGGGTGAGGGCCCCTCCTTATTGTCCTAGATCAATTGATAAAAAAACATTATTAGTCTATGTATGTTTAGTAAATCGAATATGGAGAATGATAACTGGTTGTAGGGAGTACTACAGAGTAGTAGATCAGAAATTGACAAATAGGAGGTTGTGTGGACTAGTTCATAACTTGATGGTTTTATGCACTAAGGCATTTCATGGTAACATATCAAGCTTAAGTCAGTTTAAGTATACATACATGTTTTGCATGCCCGTAGCCAGGGGGGGTTCGGGGGGTTTGAAAGAACCGCCCCTTTTGCTGGGAAAAGGTCCACTCTGGGTAAAATTTGATCTAGGTACATGAAGTTTTTATGGGAAAAGGTCCACTTTTTCAGAAAAAGAACCCCCCTTTTGAAATTGCTGGCTACGGGCCTGTTTTGTCAAAACCGAGTATGGATTATGTATAATTTGTCTTCATCTTTTCAGCATCAACTGAATTAAAGAATTGTTGCAGAAAGAAAGTATTGTTGAATTTTTAGTATTTTTTCTTCCTCTTTTTAATACATGTTGGTCTCTTTCATAAATCACAACAAAAATCTTAATAAAAAAATAACAATAACAATTATTTATTATTCTCTGATACAATAATAACATCACAAACTTTTTTAAATGGCGGAATTGAAATAGTTACAACAAATATACTTAAACGTGAGATAATGAAGAAAAAATTCAAACTCGTTAAAGTTGAGATATGTTTCATGAGATGTGAAAAAAATGACAGATGAAGGCGTTTTTCCTTTTTTATGTACAGACACAGATGTGTCTGTACATATAGCCATCATCTGCGTCTGTCGTCGCCGTCGCCGTCGTCGCCGTCGCCGTCATCGCCGTCGTCGCCGTCGCCGTGCACTTTTACCGATAACACGATAAGTGGAAAACCATTTCTATGTACAGACACCGATGGCGATGGCGATGCCGATGGCGATGCCGGCGCCGTGCACTTTCCTTGTAAACACGATAAGTGGAAGGCAGTTTTACTTTTTGGCTTTATATTTACAGAGCTGATGAATATTCATAAAACGCAGGTCAAGTTCGAAAATCAGCATGATCGGGCCATTATTGTAGTAGTTATGCTGTTTTTTCACTTTTCAGCACATTTTTCACATTTCCTTCATATTCAATTCTTAGGCATGTTAACAGTCTCATTATTAAACTAATAAGATACGTAAAAGTGTTTGTTTGACATTTCCTGCATCTTTACAACATTGTTAGTTGATTTTGTAAAAATGATGGTAAACTTGTTATCGTGTATTGTGTAATAAAGTTTCAAAAATGGAAATAAACTCATATCATTGCAGTTTGTCAGATTCAATCATTCACTATGTTCAGAATCTCAGAATGGAAGAAATTGGACATTTAACACTGCTCTGTTGATATTTTTCCCATCTCATCAATTTTCTTAGTTGATCATATAAAAATGGCAGTAAACTGTTAATTTTGTTTTATGTTAAAAATTGTTAAAAATGGAAAAAAAAACATTTCAGAACAGTGCTGTCTTGTTTACATTTTGGCATTTTCAAGTTGTGACTTTGAAGTTCCATGGGCCTGAAGACCTTTGCTAGTCACATTTTCTGAATATCCATGATACTAATATTTTATTATTAAAAATTGATGGTCATTATGCTGTTAAACATTATGTAATATTGCATCAAAATTTGAAAAAAACCTATTTTGGGCACTGCTCCCATGATGACCATTTAAGAAAAACCATGTCACTTACTGTTCTCAAACAGTACAGTAAATATGCACAGATGTGTCTGTACATATTGCCATCACCTGCGTCTGTCGTCGCCGATGGCGATGGCGATGGCGATGCCGATGGCGATGCCGGCGCCGTGCACTTTCCTTGTAAACACGATAAGTGGAGGGCAGTTTTACTTTTTGGCTTTATATTTACAGAGCTGATGAATATTCATAAAACGCAGGTCAAGTTCGAAAATCAGCATGATCGGGCCATTATTGTAGAAGTTATGCTGTTTTTTCACTTTTCAGCATTTTTTTCACATTTCCTCAGATTCAATTCTTAGGCATGTTAACAGTCTCATTATTAAACTAATAAGATACGTAAAAGTGTTTGTTTGACATTTCCTGCATCTTTACAACATTGTTAGTTGATTTTGTAAAAATGATGTTAAACTTGTTATCGTGTATTGTGTAATAAAGTTTCAAAAATGGAAATAAACTCATATCATTGCAGTTTGTCAGATTCAATCATTCACTATGTTCAGAATCTCAGAATGGAAGAAATTGGACATTTAACACTATTCTATTGATATTTTTCCCATCTCATCAATTTTCTTAGTTGATCATATAAAAATGGCAGTAAACTGTTAATTTTGTTTTATGTTAAAAATTGTTAAAAATGGAAAAAAAAACATTTCAGAACAGTGCTGTCTCGTTTACATTTTGGCATTTTCAAGTTGTGACTTTGAAGTTCCATGGGCCTGAAGACCTTTGCTAGTCACATTTTCTGAATATCCATAATACTAATATTTTATTATTAAAGTTGATGGTCATTATGCTGTTAAACATTATGTAATATTGCATCAAAATTTGAAAAAAAAAAAACTATTTTGGGCACTGCTCCCATGATGACCATTTAAGAAAAACCATGTCATTTACTGTTCTCAAACTTACAGGAAAGAAACATGGGACTAAAATACAGCTTCAGTAGGAAATACAGTCTGTTTGGTAATTCTTACTGCCAGTTAAACAGTTATTTTGTGAAAATTTAATTTTTCACATATTGGCATTTTCAAGGTGTGACTTTGAAGTTCCACGGGCTTGAAGACCCATGCTAGTCACATTTTCTGAAAATCCATGATACGTATATTTTATTATTAAAAATTGACGGTCATTATGCTGTTAACCATTATGTAATATGGCATCAGAATAGAAGAAAACACAATTTTGGGTGCTGCTGCCATGATGACCATTATGGGAAAACCATGTTACTTATGATTGCCAAACTTTCAAAAAAGAAATACAGGACTAAAATGCAGTCTGAGTTGGAAAAGCAGTCTAAGTGACTTCTTTTTCTGGAAGTTATACATTTTCAAAGTGTAAACTTGTCACATATTTTAATTACATTGGTATTACCTGTTGAGGATAATTAAAATTTGATGTTGAATTTGCAGTTTAACATAATGTATTTTTGCATCAGAATTGACAGTAGCCTATTTTGTGCATAGTTATTTCCTGTTTTTTGTCTGTACATTTGACAGCTTTGCTGCCTTGTTTAATGAATTTTGATTGTAGAAATACAGTAATAATAAACCTTTTGAGTTAGGAAAAAATTAAATTTACAAATGATGATCTCTTGTTCAAAATTGAAACAAACCATGTGATAAAGTAACAAATATGTTGATCTTCAATTTACAATATTTTGACTGAATGTTTAGAACATTAACAGCCATAGTCGCAAAATGGTGTGACAATGACTTCTCATGTCTCTCCCCTGATGGTATTACTTTCAGAATCATTGACAACAGGGCTGTCAAATGTATAGACACATAAGAGAAAATGAAAATCTCCCCCACCCAAAGGGAAATATTGCTTTAGTTTTGAACATGTCAAAAATTGAATTATAATTGTAAATCTGAAAACCATGCATCTGCTTTTCAGAATAAAAAAGGAATTATAAAAATGCTGTAAAATTTGAAAAAAAAGTACAAAATGATTGTTAAACCACAGTGGAATATTTAAATCCAAAAATCCCTTAGCCTATGAAAACCCCATCAAAAAAACCCTTACCATAAAAACCCCAGAAAAGAAGGAAAAAAGCGGCAGGATCAGAGATTTAGTTGGCAAGTTTACGGGCATATGTCATCCACGCCAGGGACTACCGATCTTACAACTTTTTACAATGTGCCAGAGGATCGTATCCAACTTTGCAAATCTCGTACTCCCACCCTAACCCCCCCAAGTCAAAATAAAAAAGAAAGGAATGTTTTTTTTTTCTTAAAAGTTTTTTCTTCTCATAAACGAAGTATATTCTAATAAAAAATAGAGAATTACGATGCCAAATTTATATATAAATCAAATCGTAGGTATGCATTTGGGACAGAGAATACTTGTAGAAATAACATTGGAGCATGTGCATTTTGAAAAAGTGCATTTTGACAGGTACTTAGCTGTAAAATACCATTTAA